AGGAAACAACCTGAAATCACAAGACTCGCCCTTTCACTCCTTTTTGTCTTTGTCCATGCAGATATAAAACCAAACAGATTTTACACGCGTTTGTCTCTAAGAGAGAGAAATCTAGAGTCGGTTCTGCCATGCCATCACCAAAACCAACCACACGTCATCAATGGATAATTTCTCAATCGTGACGAGGCATGGAAGCATTTGGGTTGGGCTCCTCGCGTGAGAAATGGAATGAAACTAGAACAAATGTCGCTTCGGGCTGGCTGGTGGAAAGTTTGGCCAGATGGGAAGAGATCGAGTCATTTGTATGTGGCCATGTCCGTAGGTACCCGTCTGCCAGCTAGAACCCTCGCTCTCTTCCTCCTAATGTGCCATCAATCTCGAGATCTCGACACACAAACCAACCAACACAACGGACCACACGTAGCACGAGGTTGGCTACTCTCTCCCCAAAACTATTAATCTCTACACGTCCCGTCCAACAAATAAGTGATGTCTTTCTTCTTCCTCCCGATGACGCAACACATGTAGCCGACCTCAGTCACACCACCACAAGCACCACCACAACCAGACCAGGCCACGCTCAGAAATCCCTGCCTACATTTCGCAATCCCATCATTGCAATTCTATAATTTGCAATCGGATTCGTTTCATGAAAGCTTTCACTCAATGGATGATAAATGAAGGAAATCCGACGGCGGATTGCACCAATATCTGTGAACGCGGGACGAGTGTGGATTTGGAGAGAAAGTTACACACTCGCGATACGGAGGGACAGAGTGGATGGAAGAATGGGTACATACACATCTCGAAATACTGAGCGAGCCCCATGAATGGGTGCGATAATCACAGCCCGTAAATCAAGGAGTTATCAGCATGGGTGGAGAGCCAGTGTGAATATATAGTTCCGATTGGGTCCAGTCTGTGCCAACAATCGGGAAGTTTAATTTGGTTGTTTTATACTTTAACAATGCCTGGTTCGAAGAAATGCCAATCTCTGGTCGTGTCAGGCCTGGGTGTTCGTTATGTCAGAGACATTTATGACCAAAGTTTGCAAGCGACAGAAATCGGGAGCACTTTCGTAACTCCGTACATACTTTGTTTCAAGCCTTTATCGTCCTTCTTATCGTGGTCGGGCGGCAGGAATTGTGTAACGCGTACTTGCGAGAGTGGGAAAGTAACACGACGACTATGCAACTCTCAACAATGTATGCTCTCGACATTCGAAGAATGCTTTCTCTCGTGGATTAGGGTTGAGCAGGCAGGATCGGGTTATAGTCGACAGTGCGCTAAAATAGCTGAAATGTAACCATACTCTGGCCCTCATTTGCTCCGCGTGTCACGCGATATGACGACGAGCAAAGAGACACAGTGAAGCAAAACACTAACGCAAACAATAAAGTATTGATTACCTATTCACGGCCCATCAAGGCAAAAGGGAGGAGAGGAAACGGCCAATTTCGCATTAGCCCACCAGCCAATATACATATCTCGTCGTTTCATTACTCTGCCACCACCACGTCCACGACACGACTTTCCTTGTTTGATACGCATTTAATTCCGAGGAGAAAGCTTCCCCTCGCCAACAGCAACACCCCTCTAATCCCAAGAATATTTAGTAAACGAATGCAAGTCGTGGCCGGAAGTTGGGGAGGGAGAAAAGGCTCGAATAAGCTGACAGTGGTGGAAATAATGATATTTTTGATAGACAGCAATAGCAATAATATTTGTGGAGGCGCATTGAGCTGATAAATGATGGAGGCGCTATTATGCGGTTGAGATTGTGGTTGGTTGTGGTGCCTGGGATTGGTGGACTGCTAATGGTTTGAGAATAAAGGATCAATTTCCCCTCTTGAGGCGGAAACCTGTCTGCTTTCTCCCAACTTTCACTTGTTACACTCACCGCCTAGATCTCGTTCTTAGATAAACCTTTGTGTTGGGTTTGTGTCGATATCGCCGTATCGGATTTAGTCCTGCGGCCTCGAATGGGGAGAGAAATTGGGAATATGGAGTACGTGATTAAGTACGCAAGGGAGGTGAGAAATTAGATCCTCACGTCCTCCTCGTCATTACGGGAAAAGTAAAGAGTGAGTAAACGACCATGTATCACAATATCCAATGACACTTTAACTGCCACTACGCCTCCGAACCATACCCCATTAAGTGGAGTAACTTGTTTAGGAATAATTGGAGTGGGGAAAAAGAGAGAGAGCAAAAAAAGAAATTAAATATTTACCCGACGTTTGCCACCAAGAAAGCACTTGGCACAATTTAAGCCAGCTGTTGCCATTGCTAAATAGACTGTGCTGGAGGACTTGGAGGAGGAGGAAGGAGGATGTGGAAATGGATGGTTAGCTTACGCAGGGATGGAGTGGGGTGACATTAGCCAAGTGCATTATTTGACTGCTAACTGACTGCTACTTACACAATTAGGCCTGGCTTGGGTTTATGGCGAATATATAGTTTCGGACTGGCACACAAGAGTAAAATCCAAGAGCTGCAGTGGAGGTGGTGGCGGTGGTGGAAGGCAAGAGTGCTTTTCTCCTTTAATTCGTGAACAATGGTGGAAGCCCATTCTGCTCGCTTTCATTTATTCGCCACTCGAAAAAGCTTCTCTTTTCTAGTCTTGCACCATTTGGAAATTCTCTGGCGGAGAAAGACTTGAGCCAGCCAGGGACGGAGGTTGTTCTTCCACTCAAGGGCCAAAATACATTAAGAAGTTGATTGATGAAAACGGGAAATGTCAAATACTCAAAGAGCCAAAGACGGAATTGTACTTGAGGACGAGGGAGAGAAGAGAAAGTCCGAGAAAAACCATGGTTCTCTGACTTTCACCAATTTTAAATCCCACCCAATGCCACCACATTCTACTTTCACTCTGACATTCATTTCTCCCGGGTGAACCCCACCAACCGCGGTCCCAAACCCATGAATACCAACGTGCAGTCGGAACGGATTGGAATGGACGACATGCAGTCTGCATATTCTGCATGTGGTTGGGCTGGGAGCACAAAGTTATGTGTCTGGTGGTGCAGTTTGGAATGCATGGAATATTGAGTGCGGGAGCGGTGTTGGCGGGAGGGGAGATTATTCCGCTCGACCAGGTCATAAAGGAAGAAAGCGGAAAGGAAATGACAATTGGTGAGCTGGTAAGTGCTCATGTAAGACGTGCACGGAAGATGGTCCTCCTCATGCCCGTGGTGCTGAGGAGGAGATGACGAGACCGTCGTCATTGTCACTGCCATTTACCACACAAAGCAAAATAAAGGAGCCAGCGTGTCAACCCTCATCTCCTTCTTGGCTTGCTATACACGCGCCTATGCTTTCTCCCTTTGTGCCCAACCGCCGCCGCGGCTCACTCAGTCACGGACTCGATCCTATCAGAAGGGAACATCAAGGAGAACAGTAACCTCTTATCGTGTCGAGAATGTCCATCGAAGCCTACACGAGTCTACTTGCAATTTGAGTCAGTGGTGCGAGGCCTCAGTCTCTGTGCAGCAGCTCCTTTGACTCCTCAGCACTGTGTCACCGTTTGTTTCTGGGAAAGTTGCTCTGCTTTCTCCACCGACAGAGATGGACTGGAATGAATTCCTTTGTGGCGACCAAATACCATGGCCCAGAATAATGGCAGGCGAAGAAGACGACAAAGCTAACATTTGGTTCGCTGTTAGTTCAAGAGACAATAAAGCTCTTCGCTCTTTTCCTCCGTCGTCTCATCAGCCAAGTCAGTCAGTCACCCAGACCACCATCACCTCCACCACCACTGGCTCTACTTCGGAGTGATCAAAGGGTTGGATGGAAGGAAATCACGCTCAAACTCTACTCCATTATGCTCAACCCTCCACTTCCGCTCTGCTCATTAACACCCAGCACCACTCCCTCGGCCCCACACTGCAGACCTCCCTTCCTGCCCTCCTGCGTCTTCGCAAAAGATAATGCAAGGTCCAAAGTGCATATTAATTAATGGGTGGCTCAAAGTGAGAAGCAAACACACCACTAATCCCCAGACATTCCATATTCACACTAATACATGGCGACTAAAAGGTGTGCGGAATCACAACCAGGGCGACTCCTGCATGCATATTTATATTATCAGCAGAAGAGGGTATGTAAAGATGGTGGTCGTGCTGCTGGTGGCACTTTACTTGATTGCTTTCCAAATTAATATAAAATCAAATATCCAGACGACGACCAATCGTGTTTGTTCAATTTCAAGAGGATATAACAGTTTTGGTTTGGAATCGATACCCGCGTGGCCATGTTGCTGGCTTGCAAAAGGAGAGCAGGTAGGAAAATAGAGAGGAAAAGAGAGAGAGCATCGTCGTATTAGTTCCACTTCATTGACTTTCATCGAATGTGTGCCATCAATGTCACTACCTGCATATTGTTAGATTTTGGAGCGTGTCTCCGCTTGTGCCGATCGACCCTTCTCTCCCAACCACATGCACATCAGAGTCAGAGAAATTGGCCATTTCCTCCCCGCTCACTTTCTTGTACATGTTTATTTATGCGGAGAGTGCACAATTTCCTTTCATGCGGGACATGTGCTTTCTCTGATCATTATCCGTTTCTGTACGGACTCCATTTCACCCTCCGCCTCCCACTCCTCCAGGCTCGTAATAAGTTTGTTGTTGATGAGAAGGAGGAATTTTTAGTAGCGTGTGTGCTATTAGGGAGGCTCGTGGGAGCAGAGGAGAAAGCAGACAGAGCACAAATGTGGGTCCTCGTAAATAAGTAATCATTCCGTCTTTCATCACGACATTCGTCATATTTCTATAAATAGCCCGGACTCCTCTCCCATTACAAACATGCTTATTTAGCATAAATTGAATGACATTTCCATCACAAAAGATGAGATGCAAGGAGAAGAAGAAAGTGTTTATTCTAAAAAAGAAACTTGCATGAACTGACTTTATGTACGTAGTCTCTGCATAGAGAGAGGAGAATGAGAATGATGAAATTGCAGAATGCCAACAAATAGAGACAAGTATTTCTAGACTTACCAGAACATAAACGCCAAAGGGCATTACGACCCCGGCCACGAGGAGATCCGCCACTGCCAGGGAGACGATAAAGTAGTTGGTAACGTTCCAAAGTGACCGCTCTCTCTTCACTGCCAGAATCACCAGCATGTTTCCAAACACCGCAAAAATGGAGAAGACGATGAGGAGCAGCGCCCAGTAGTTGTAACCTCCATCCCCGTCATCGTCAATTCCCCCAGTCCCATTCCCCCAGTCGCTGGCATTGTCCCAGGCCGTGAGGTTGAAGGGGTCGCCCCCACCACCCACGCCCAAATAAGGGTCGTGCTCATCATCCCCACTGCTCGCCACTAGGAGCTGGGTCCTCACCATGGCCGTCGTCTGGCGGAGAGGAAGACTGCGCGGAGAAAGCTCATCGTCGCGAAGGAGGAAAAGCTCGGGGGACAAATCACCGTTGCTGCCCCAGTCAGACAGCGACAAGGTTGACATTGGGCTGGCGGGGGTACTTCTCATCAACAGCCCTCCGCTATCCGAGAACTTTTGGGAGGTGGGTGAGGTGAAAGCGTTGGAGGAGTGCGTGGTGGTGGTGGTGAAGATGGAACTGGGGTAAGAAGTGGCTGCTGCGAGGATTGTCATCATATTGTTCATCTTCTCAAAGGCACGAGTCCCGGGACTCGTGCTAACTTGAGAGCAGGCGAGGAGAGGACGAGGTTGTAAACATGTTAATTATTTGTTGGGGCTGGTATTTGGTGGATGAAAGGAGTCTTGAGCTCGTTGGCCAGCGTCAGTGGGAATGATTGGATCTGACAAGAGTGGGGCTCAGAGGGATGAAAAGCGAGAGATGACTGATGGACTTGTGGGCGTGTGGGTTTTGGGTGGGTGGGAAGATGTCGAGTCCAAGTCTGAAATAAGATAAAGTTTACTTCTTCACGGTGGCAAGTACTTACATCATTATGTTTATAGAGCGAGTGAGCAATATTTTGGAAATTAATTCCACCACGCTGGTCTCAAGAGGAGGAGAAAGTTTCCTCTACTTTGGTGGCCAACCAACCAAGGAACCATGTATCATTTTCTTATTTTGGATGGAACCCGATCGGAAGACCATTTAGTTCAGATGCAGACGGAAGACAGCCACTTTCCTCGGCTGGCCCATTGAAACAGAGTGTCGCGGGGAGCGTAGAGAAAGTTAAGAGGTTGGGAATGGGCCATAAATAAGAGAGTAAGCATGCCTCTTCCTTCCCCTCGAGACCAGAAAACAGGGCCCATGCAAGGTGGGCTGCTTATGGGAGTCAGAGACCAGCCAGCCATGCAGCGCTTTTGAAACCTTGAAATACTAACTTTCTCACCAAACCCAAAGATACCCTAATCCCACAGCCTTCACCTTCGCCTTGCAGACCATGCACCACCACCAGGACGACGTCCACCCTGTTACGAAATTCTCAATTTCTTAATCTCGACGATATCCTACCCCCTCAACCACACTTCTCTTCTATCGGGCACATTCACAAGCATACGATTGAAAATACTTGGGTAGGTACATGCGTCCGTCATCGTCGTCGTCGTAAGAACGTGAAAGGACAGGGCGAGGACACGTGTAATCTGCTTTCATCCCAACCACCACCACAAACGAACCACTTTCACCGTCTTTCACCTGCAAATTGAATAACTTGGCTCAGCTCGGCTTAGGCTCTGACTCAACAGCTTGAACAAGTCCGAAAATGCACCACGATTCGAGGAGACCACACAACTTTTACTCCCAAGACTCACAACAACAACATGTCGACCACGACGACAACGTGTACGACTACAATGCAGCCAAAGCCTTCATCCATGCTGACTTTGCCACCCACCGTCCCAGGTTGCATCCATCTCATCCAATACATTCATCTCATCCTATTCATTTCCATTAGTCCAGCATGTTGAGCAGACACAGAAGGACGGAGGGAAGAATGGGAGGCAGAACTTTCACCCTGGAGCAGGATGCGTGCAGCCATGTCAGCAGCAGGAGCAGCAGGATTACAAATGATAACCTTCATCACCACGACCTCCAATGCCCGCTACACAGGCATAAACATCAACATGGCACATCAAACCCAACGTTAGGACGATGATGGACTGCCCGCTGCTTCCAATCCCAACCTCAACTTTCACCCAGCACAACCCAAACAAATATTACAACAGATATCACTGCCCATCTGCTCACAATGAGTGGCATCTCCAGGGCCTCACGGGAGTAAAACGTACTTTTTGTCTTGCTCTGCATGCGAGCGGATATTGCATGGGCAACGGGTGGAAAATTGCACCGTTTGGGTCTCTCAATTTCAAGACGGGCTGCACTCTTTGCTTTTTTATATTGGGCTGGTTATAAATTAGTCTGTTACGCTATTATCATATTGTGTTGCATCTTTATCTTATCGCCACTAATTCAAGGTTCCATCACCCATCTGTCCCACCAGGCTGGCCACCCAGAAAACCACATGAACGATGGGAGGGAAGAAAGCTGCCACTGCTGACTCGGTTCTCGGCCAGTGCGTGCATGTCTACCAAAAAGGAAACAAAGGGGAACAAAGACATAAATAAATACATGGCATCCGCATCTCACACCATCCATTTAACTAGGCTACACATACAAAGGCCGGTTCGGGGGAAAGCTAAAAAATCAGCAACACCACACCAGGAGCAGTAGCACCTTTTGTGCTCTCTCTCTCTCTTTCTCTCGCGAGCACCTTTTACACCTTTTCCTTTGAAGACGTTATGAACGGTTGAGAGAAAAGAAGATTATAAAAAGCCGCAGCTCCCGTTACTCGAGTTCTGCAGCTACAGCAAGATCGTGCTCCACTCGCAGCGTCATTATCCAGTCCACCAACGAGGCCGAGCTGGATTACAGACCAGAAAGTTTTCCTCCGTTATTTTTGTAGCAGCTACGAAGGCGATAAAAGGTGTAATATACAGCAATCGAGGAATGTGAATGGGCGATGAAGGAGAATTTCATGATTTTGATTTACTTTCACCACAGGCGGCTACTCGTTTGGGAAATCTGTCAAAAGGCGGAAAGGTTGAAGGATGGCTGACATTTTCCTTCGTCAAGGGCAAGATTATGACAGATGGCTCACGATTCCCCGACTGCTGGTCCCATTTTAGTTAAAAGTCAGAAGAAACACAAGCAGTAAAAGGAGTAATGAAAAGGGGTTTATTATCCTCCAACTTTTCCCCTAATCGGGGACGAAGGAGGAAAAGTTTGTCTAAAGACCAGGCGAAGGAAAACAGTGCAATCAATGCTCTTTTGAAGAGATCAACTGGTAGAGCAAGTGGACCTCGTGAACGGAAGAACGGGAGACGATTATCAATATGTAAGTGAGCCAAAGGCAGAAAACTCAACTATAAATACATGTTCCACTTGAAGTTGGTGAAGAAGTTGGAGGAGATAAAACGAGTGAGTTTGCAAGTTGTTGTTCTATTTGCTTGGAGGAACTTCTTAGTTCTCCATTAAGCTCGGAGGGCGAGGCAAGGAGTGAAGAATGTGAGACAAAATGAGTGGAGAGCGGATGTTAAAGTCCACCAATCCCATCCTCCTCCTTCTTCGATAAGGCTTTCCACTTCCTCCTTCCAAACTCTGATCAAGTTGACCAGTGGAAACTCCTGGGCTCCTTATACCACCTCAAATAGGTGCGTAGGCAGTGTGTGTGCTTTCCCCGCCCGTATATATCCTGCCAAAACTCGTTAGCTCTCCTTTGTTGGAAATGTTTCCCTTATTATTTATCCGATTAATGGGGCCGACTGGATTTCTACGCTCTCCTTCTCCCTCGTGTGAGCCGAAGCACTTGGTTTTCACCAACTTTCTCTTTCCTCCATGTGAGGAATATGAGACGAAGAACGAGCCTGGAGCAACGAGTCGGCACACACACGCCATCATTATGATACTAGTTAAATGCTCCTCAGAACATGACGTTCTCAAGTTTGACACGATTCTCCACATAATGAGGATCACATCACACGACTGAAAGAGATCCACTCGACCAAGTCACACTGCCCACTCGTTTTCCTCCCTGCCCATCCATTGCATAAAAAAACAAGGCCGTGGAGAAAGCATGGATTATTTATTCTGGGTAAAACGAGCTTGTTCCTCCTCCTGCTGCTGCTGCTGTCGAGGAGAGAAAGAAGGCCACTCCTGACTCTAAGTACATGTCGTGGGTTTAATTAAATGAGGGGAAGAATAACAGATAGACAGGGTTGGAACCTCATTATGAGACACAAATGGATGGACAGATCAGATTAGAAATAATGCCACATTCTTCTCCCCTGACAATGACACTCTGTCGCATCTGAAGACTGAGTGACTGAAATGTCAAAGGTGGTCAGTCGCCATTCTCAGTACTGCATTCATTATTTGCAGTGTCCACCAACCACGTAGGTTCGTATGCAAAGGGAGCAGTAATATTTTAATGACGAAAGCAAGCAATGGGACGGAAGGTGGGTGGGTGGATGGAGACAAAGTAAACCAGTTGCTCAAAATGGATGAGTGAACGTCAGAGTACAAATTGCAGGATGAAGTGACAGACCATAATAATTATAAAATGATATGGAATTGCCCATAGTTCGGGGCACAAGCCACTTTCTCCCACTGTTCCCGGGTGGGCGAAGAGTAAACTGGCCGTGCGGATACGTCCATGAAACAATAATAGACCGAAACTACACACTAATGCCCAAAGGACCATGGCGTACGTACAGTCGAATAAATGCCATAAAAGACAAGTGTAACACAATGGAGTTCACTTTATTCGGTCGACCCCCATTATTAGTTACCCGTATTTTCAGCATAAAAGGCAACTTGGCTCCACACGGGGATGGGGCAGCTCATAAAATTTGTGTTCTCCTTGTTCTTCTCGCGTGACACGGGCTCATAAGACTCGAGCTCAGTTATTAATTGAAAGTGGCCGGAAGGAAGGAGTGCAAAGAGGAGAAAGGAACCATTGTCATCAGCACATACGAACAGTGTATTTATGGATGGATTTAGCTGGCAGAACGGTGGTTAACATACAACATTGGTGGGTCGGCATGCCATCAAGTGTATCAAACTCCTTGACCAGCTCACATCCACTTCAACCACACCACGCACACCTTTCTCCCCGCTTTATCCTTGTGGAGACAGCCCGTGCATTTTATTAGCGGAATAAGGATACGAGACGATAGGGTATCATCATTGTTGTGCATTTCTTATTTACTCGCTGCCTCTGAAGACACGATGTTGGTGGAGGATCGGTGCAAATGGCAGCAATTGTGCAATTCCTGCTATGCATTTATGCTTTTGAAAAGTGGATCTGACAATGTTAGCGATGCGGATGAGTTGCAGGGGCAAATTTCGATGCAGTGACATGGACTATGTAGTTATTTACTGATGCAGAATTGTATCCAATTAGCAATTCACACGCAGACCGAGTGGTGGTTCTGGCTCATCCTGCATGCGGGTGTAACAACAATAATCGGTCGGATTGTGCAACGATATGACGTCCTGTCCGTGAGTGAGCCGTTTGTTTGGCACGCGAGGCATGAAATATGGATGGGAACATGGGCCAGGAACGGGGAACGGAGGTGACAATGCGGCATTTATACGCGCGTCTAAATGAAATTACCTCTCGGTTCATGTCCTATTTTTGGAAATGGAGATGAGCGATATCGTGCGATGCGAACCACAAAAGATGGATTACATTTCACCGCACGAAAGGATTAAAATTGAATTTCTACGTATCCTCGCAAAACGCACACTTGTGCATTTGTATACAAGCGCACGGAATGTGGTGTCCTTTTGCGGCGGAAAGAGTTGTGTGTACTCGTTCTAATTTAAAAACCTAAACAATTTGAGTGAGACGAAGGAAGAGCATGTCATCCCGCGTGCACGAAATGGCGAGATTTTATCTAGAACAAGAACGTCTCTGGAGTGGGGACGCCCCCTCCCCTGACAGATAACCAAGTGGATGTAGGCGCGGAAAGAAATCCTCTCTCATCGCCCTCCAAATAATTATTTACGCAATCTTCTCCCACTGTTTGTAAACCTGAGCGACCGGGTTTCCTCCAAATTCGGAGGAGACGTGACTTGAATGACTGCTGCACCCAGCATTGGCAGAGAGAAAGAGATGGTTGTGATTACACGGAGACGATGGTGATGATACCCGTCCATCCACCTCGACATGGTTTTGATTTGATCGCCGCCTTCACAAAGGGACTCGCTGTGGGATGGACCAAGACTGAGGAGAAAGCCACCCATCTCCTACTACTTTCGACTACTTAGCGTCGCCCGAGGCAGAGGCAGCCAACTTTTGAGAGGAGCCAGATTAAGGTCTCGACCAGCACGAGAGAGAGACAGCCGTGTGGATTTTAATCAACTGATAATTGAACAGTTTAACTCTTCACTTACTTGACGGCTTTTCTCTGATGCGGTCCGTCTACTTTCTCCACCCGCCCGCCTCCCACTTTCTGCTCCAACATGGCTCAAAGTTTGGTAAGTCTCTGGGCCATGGGGAAAGGAGTGGGCGATGTTGCAAAATAAAGTATGCAATATGACAAACTTTCCCCGTGCATATGGAATGAACATTATGCAACCAACCTGAACTGTCTCTCTCCCTCAGCCGCCATGTGTGAGAAATGTAATATTTCACCCCATTTCTCGTCTCATCTTTCACACCTGCATCCACAACCAGCAGTCACCGGTCGCACCACTCGAGAGCGTCTCTCACTCCCTCAAAACATGGCTATCAATTAACTAATTTCTCCTCTCAGATGACCCATTCGTTTAGAGTTTGGGTTCCACAAGCGGAGGGTATAATTCTGCGCCACCATTACGTACTTTCTCTTCTCTGCTCACTGCTCATCAACTGACGCAAGTTGGCAAGTGAAAAAGTAGAGATCAGGCCCGTCATCGTGCAGGGAAATGTCAATATTTATAAAAATGGAGCAAATGTAAATTTATTACCTTGATGGGAGAAAGTTTCTCTGCTTTCTTTTTGTTGCAGGAGAGGAAGAGCAGGGAAATTACTTAAACTGATTGGTGCACGGTTGACTCAATCAAAAATACTTTCACCGTGGAGATGGGAGAACGTAGGGGAGAAAAGTGTTATTGATCCCCTCGTTATTCTGAGTGGGATGTGAGACTGTGAGAGTCGGTCATAAAAGTATCCAACTTTGAAATAATTTGATATTTCTCTGTCTTTATCGGCTCGCGAAATAAATAAACTTGGCACTTACTCACTTTCCAATTAAATTGGATTTCTCCTTTCTGGCTCGATTTTGACTGGGTGGAAAATCGAATTAGCCGAGGAGTCAAACATTGCGATATTATTTATAGCTCCTGTTATTCGCTCGAGGGATGACAATGGGAGTTAGCAGAGCGATTATTTATGACGCTTTTGGAGGATGATGAATCAAGCGGGGAAGAAGAAGAAGAAGACGAGTGAGTGGAGAAGATGAGGGGAGGCGAGTTCAGCACTAAACAACTTTACAACTATTTACCTTTTATTTCTCTCAAAGTGCAGTTGTGTCGTTTCCAACAAGTTTTCACTCCCTCCGATGTGATCAGTCTCTCCGCCAAGAATTTGTTTTCCAGCCAAAAATGTCAAGTATCGATTACAACGGTCGAATTGCAACAGATCTTTCAGTGCAGCTTCTTTCTCCAAAGTACAACAATGTCCTTAGCACCACCACTCACTCCAAAATGGTCCGTCTCATCTTGCCACTTTCACCCGGAGAGGGGATTACGACACAAGGACAACTTGTGTAATGGGAAACGACGAGCTGACGAGGGGTTAGTGAAAAGTATGGTTTATATCTTGATGAGAAAAGTGCAAGTAGCAATATTCCAAAGCATCGGACGCGACAGAGAACAAAGGTATGCAGAGAGTAACAGCAGAGCCTGATTTTTTGTTGATGACGATGATGATGATGGAGGAGCAACTCAAGTTTCCGTGTGGCCACACCGTGTCAGAGATGGGAGCGAACTAAACCTCGAAAACCGGGTTCTCCTCTCCTTCCTTCTGGCAGGCAGGCGGAGAAGTCTGCTTTTCGGGAGAAAACTACTTCAACCTCTCAAGCCAGGGAATGGAGACTGGGTCGCCACTGCTGGTGGCAATACAAGTAGAGAAAGTCACTCCGTGCTTCCTACCACTGCTCGTGGGTGCAAGTGGTGGGAGAGAGCAGAACGTAACTTCCTCTCACTTTCACTTGGAATCAAGTACTAAATAATTTTGAGACGCCACACCAGCCGACAATTAATTTGTGCTTCGCTCTTGTTCATCATAAAAGTAAAAGTGGTGTCATCGTGTCCTTCGTGTGTATCTCCAGCCAGCCAGCAACCCACTTGTTGGGCATTCCTTCACATTTACGACCCCTTCGAATTTACGAGGGTGTCACAGATGAGAAAATATTTTCACTCAAGCGGGATATGGGATGGGCTATGCAGCAGACTTCTGGGACGAGGATGACGATACAGCAGACGACAAAAGTACGGACGACGGAGGGCTCCATATTTTACAGGATTCTCCTCCCGTCAAGATTTACTTTCTTATCGCTCGTGGTGGTGCAGAAATGCATGTGGTGACTCCAGTACAAGCCGACAAGCCATGTAGAAGGATGCACTTGAGCAAACAAACAGTTTTTGGTGGAAGGAAAGCATTGTAAAAATTAAAGTGTAGTGTTTTCCGCTCCTCGTTCTCCCATCCTTCCTCTCCCAATAAGTCAAGAGAACGAGACACTTGAGAACGGAGCAGTAAAAGTGGAGCATTCCTCTCTGACGTTTATTAGTTGTTGGTTCTGCTCCTCCACATAAAAATGATGTATGCATTGCAGGACAGCCACATATCTGCGAGGGAGAGAGCCATGAGGGCATCACTCACTTTCTCTGCCAGAGTAAATTCCAATGAAACCTTGAGAATTGCAAATTGGCACCCATGGGCCACCCCCACGATGGACGGCGGATTGGCAATTCCTGCGAGACACAACACACGTCAACGGCTCGAAGGTTTCCATCAGCAGCCTGGCTGGACGGGACATGATCATCACTCGCAAAGTAAGACAAACGAGGGGGCAGTGTGACCATAAATCCTCATTTTCCTCAATGTCCTCCTTGTGTGATGAGGTATTTGGTCAGGGTGAAAGTTTAGGTTGGGCATGCTTTCTCCCAATCCCTCATTTCCCCTCCCGGTCCGTCATACATGTCGATACATTCCTTCGAGACAGAGGGAAAGTTGGCATTTCCTTTGAAAATATTCAAATTCATTTGATGCAATTCTTTGTAAACCGTTTCATCCATCCAGTGGAACATTGGAGAGGAAAGTATTAAGAGTGGTGAAAGTCCTTTAATTATTCATTCCTCCCAACCATATCCATCTCCCTCCAACTGTGTGGTTGGGTGAAATAGTTTTTAAACAAAAATTGCCACAAGAACAACAAGGGAGCCAAGTATTTGTGTTGTCTGTGCCATGGCTGCCCGAGTATCAAAAGTCGTGGTGGCCACAAAAATGTTCTCATCCAGAGAGAGAGAGAAACTTTTCCTTTATTTCTTGCCCACCATGGCGGCTTCCTTTCATTTGTCTTCATTAGCATTCATTTCATTAATGGGAGAGCGAGCGAGCGAGTTGGCTGGTTGGCCAGGATCGTGCAACAGTTTAGTTAGTTTACGTACTCCATCACTCCAATAAAATGAATGGGCACACACACAACTTTCTGTCCTGCCTCGAGATGTAATTGTGCTTGTTGTCCTACTTTCCCCACTTTAAGTGGTTTGTCTCGAAGGAGGAGGAGGAAGACGAGAAGCAAACAATGATTTCCTTCAATTTATAGCATTACACGCTGTACAAACTCCTGACCACAGTAATTAATTGAGAGTCTCGCTTCACTTTAGTGCTACTAACTTTTCCATTAAAAGTGTAGCTGTAAAAACAAGATGGAATAACTAAGCATGTACAAAACTACGACGACGACTCGTAGTACGACTCCTTCTGGCGTACCATCACATCTGAATATGCACGTATCTATGTACGTATGTGGAGAGGCAGTGGGATCGTGTTGCAGGAGGAGAGTTGGCTTGTGTATGAAAGACGTGAAGTGGTGCGGGATCTGCATGATCCTCACCCGGACGGAGCCAAGAAGTGATGTTTAATGGGACTGGAAAACTTAATATTGGCGGAAGAGAGACGGGAGAGAGAGAATACAAAGCCGAGGTCAGCATAAATATTAAAATTTAAAACGAGAATCCATCTCGCGTGCCAACAAGAGCGGGAGATGATGGGTGCGGAGAGGAGAAGAAAAGTCTCTCTGGGCCGGAAAACCAAGCGTCTCAGCCTTTGGGGGAGGATTAGTTGGAAATATGGATAATAAGTACGTACTATTTACACAACAATGCTCTCTGTAGGAATGCCTGGCCTTTTGGCTACACGAACGAGCGAGGAGGAGGGCGAGTGGCGGCGTGGAGAGAGAAAGTCATAAAAATTTTAATGAGCACGTAAACCTCCTGATCAACTTGTGCATGAAGAATAAATGAATTTAGGATTAGCAGAGTCATAAATCTAAAGTCGGTTCAAGTCCTATTTCGCATTCTGCATGCTCCCTGATCCTGTTTCATTTCCGATGTGACTGGCAGGATGCAGCTGTGTGGCATGTGGACCTCTTTTTTTCCTCCACTCGTCCCGTCCATGTGTCATTCCACAGGACTTTTATTTATTTACCAGCCAACGCAGCAGCGCCCCACGGAAGGCTTCCCACATGCATCTGCTCAACCATGTAATTGCAAACTTGACCTTAATAAATTATGCTACTTACACGAATTTAGGTACGCAGTAATTAATGTTTACAATGTGACGTTAATAGAGCTAGATCTGCTCAAGTGAAGGAATAAATTTGAACCCACCAAAATATGGCTACTTTATTTCCTAATATATGCGTAATTTCGTGCCTTATTAGACGATAAATGAGCTATTTCTGTCCCAGTTTTACCAGCTTGTTAACATGTCACCACCGCTGTTTACCTCTGGGTTGCTCAGCATTTATAAAAATTTGACTGGATCGAAAAAGTTGCGAGTAAGTAACTCGGTGTATGAAGTAGGTGCACGTAATTGGCTACCCGGCGAGGTGCATGGATATGTAAATGCACGGTTGACAGGCAATTACTCTCAACCGGAGCCTTCTTAAGCTCTCCTCGTCCAAGTGCATACATAATAATGTATAATGACAACTATTAATTAGTTGAGGAATATATTAGCATAATTCGCTCATTACAAAATTGCCAACTTTCTCCCTCAAGAAATTAATTAAGTTCTAATTCTTATTCACTATAATAATTATGCAAAGTGTAATTGGCTGCGTTCTGTGGAGCGAAGTGCAAGTGGAATTATCCTCCCTGCTCCCTCCAATGGAGTGAAATGAAGCCTGACAATTTCTGCTCTTCATTAAAGTTTCATTAAAGTTTATGACTTTCTTAATTCCAGCCCAACAAAAGGAGAAGCAGAATCATCAGTATTTTTGTTCCGCAAGTCTGATCCTTCTCAACACAATCGGGGGACCATCTTCATGCGACCATGACCTCGTCCATGCTGAATGGAAAATTGTGGGCCTTGTTCCTGGTGAAAGTCAGACTCCTTTGTCTCTCTCTTTTCTCTCGGAGGAATAAATGGAGTCCGGAACCAGCATGATTTCATATTCGATGTCGTCGCCTTGGACAAACATTGGCATATGCAGTAAGCAAATAAGAAGAACTTGGAAGAGAGTTGGAGCGAATGAATGACTGAGTCTGAATGAGTTGGTTGGCGTCTTAATGTGCACGCAGTGGATGGGTCGGATTCGAAATTTCCTGAATCTGGCTTATTTTCCCCCTTTTCACTTGATTAGATACAATGTTTCTTAATTAACTCGTAATGAGCTTATTGTTATTTCGTCTGCCTCGTCCTTCTCGCTCTCGTCATAAGGCAACTATTCCGCACTAACAGATTCAAGCCCAACGTTGCAACCAGCATGCTAGATACTTCTTGCTACGACAGGATGCACGGCTTAAGTTTCTTTGTTCGGGGGCTTATTTTAGAATTTTTGGTAAAATAAGAAACAAAGAAGAAAGACGGAGCAGCAGCGCAGTTGGTGAAGCACATCTCTAGTGATACTTATCTAAATACATCTTCTTAAGTACATATCTGTGTATCTATGTGCATATTGAGGACGCTGCACTCTTCTCCCCATGACAAATACATGATGAGCTACAGTTGGAACCAAAATTAACTGACCAAGTTTTGATCGTTCGAGATATCGAAAGTACATCTTCAAGTTTTCAAGCCGAACCTAGAAGTTAAGGATATTTGTGGCTAGATCCAACTACAATTTTGAAAAAATAAGGTCAACACCATGGGTCAATTTTTTTACCTCTGACCCCTAAAATTAGCTACCCGTTCTTTTTTTTGGCGGTTCAAAGTTGGATCAACTCATCCTGAGCATTTTTATTTGTGGTTTTTGGAGGTCAAAAAATTGTGACCCTTGATTTTGACCCTATTTTTTCAAAATTATAGTTGGATCTAACTGAAAATATTCTTGGCTTTACCAAAAACTTATAATTAAGATTTTAAGCACTTTTGAGATACGTCGGATCAAAACTTTTTGGTTCTAACTGTAAGTAATAATATGTAAGCATGCATAAGAGGATTATACGCTTTATGCCATCTTGTCAAGATTATCAATAATGATCCCCAAGTAAATCAGCCACGTATATTTTATGCCGTTCTCCATGCTCTTCACGTAAATATGTAAATAATATCATAATGCTTTAATTAAATAGAATGCCCTGCCTCATTTTTAATCCGCTTTTCGACTCCGTCTTCCTGAATGTCTTACAGACTTTTACGTCACTGGAAATCCGAGAACTTTTTGGCCCTCCTTTATTCTCCAACAATTCGAAACATTTCCACCAAGTAAAACTAAACAACGTGAATCTGCATGTGCACACTGATAAA